AATTCATACTTTTAAATATAAATATAAATATAAGTGTAATAGTAGTAATATAAGTGGTATTTATGTGGTTAGGTATATATATACTAGTATAGTACCTTAATTTTTGAATGTTACAAATAGCGTATAAATTAATATTAATAATAATATTAGTTAATTATTTTCATATTATATAAATACTTTAATAATAAATACAAAACAAGACGTAATAATATACTTATTTATTTTATCATATAAATATTGTTGTTATTGCATAATCGCAGACGACATTCGTTTCTATCATTGCACACATGTAAAATATGACGACGGGCAGCAAAATATTATTTAATTATAGAATATAATATTATTGGTAAAAGCACGGCGTATGGGCCACAGATATTATCTTATCGCCATAATACAAAATATCTTTATTTATATGGATTATCTGGAATAGGTTTCATTGCGACAACAGACTAAATATATGAATTSATAAAATTAAATTGTGTAAATTGAAAAGTAAATACGAAATGAGGAAAAAATGAAGTTGTTTTTATGAAATAATATGCAATAATAACTCTAAAAAATCTACATATAAACATATCTTTTTACCTGTCCTGTTCAGAATTTTTCCAGCTTCCTCCCATAGGAGATCTTTTTTTAATGTGTTTTTGAAATCCGGATTCTTCAGATCATATAATATTGTATGATTGCTAACAAATGCAATCAACTGATCGTCGTCATCACCCGAAAAACGAACGCTCGGCCCAACACAACTACTTTTTTGCATTTTGAAAACACTTTAATATAATTTCTACAAAACGCTGCGCGCAACGCAATAGACTGCCTCTCTTGTCAGTCGGCGAATCGCGCCGAGCTTATTGCGCTGACACGCAACKTGTTGCGCTCTGTAGGAAAACAGTGTAATTAATTTCAAAAGAATAAGTGGATGACGTACTGCGCTAAGCGTAATACGTCATATACGACGCAAAAACGTGCTCCTAGGAAAACGTACCTTTAGCTATAATAATATACAAAATCAAAAAAAAAAAATATATATTATTACTATTTAATCAAAAACACTAACATTATTTTATTATTATATTGATGTACGTCGTTATACACTAATTATATTTAAAAGTACTTATTTTATAATATTTATATGACGAATAACGTTATGTGCCAAACTCGTGTATAAAACGGAACAGAAATTACAACTCCGGATTATACGTTGATTTGGCACCGAGTGCTAGATTCATGAATAGAACGTAAATACGCTACCCGGCAGTAATACTCGGTGTGATATATTCTGATTGACAAATAAAAAAAAAAAAAAAAATAAAACATTACTTATTCGATTTATTGTAGGTTTATTATGAAATATTCATATAAATACATTTTATTAGAAAAAAATCGTGAATCGGAAATATTTATAAACATAGAATTTACTGGCGTTATCTGGAATGTCAGTTTATATAGTTGAAGATTCTCTAAGAAATTCCAATTCATTCTCCAATTCTGAAATTTCTTTGTGTAATTTTAGAACTTTTGTATTGATTTTGGCCAATTTCATTATATTCGAAATTCTAAAATAAAAAATAAAATACCGATATATTTTCTAATTTACAATAATATTAATCTCTCTTGAATAAGCTTGATCATACTGGCATAACCATAAATAATGAATACATAAAAAAAAAAAATAAGGACCTAAATTGGAARTTTAATACCTATCTATAACCTATGTATTATTGCCTATGAATGTAGGTACACAAATACTAATTTGAGATATGTGGTGACTCAACGATTGTGCGTGAAAATTATAGTTGGGCGAAACTAAAGTCTGATAATATTGTAGATGTTATATTATGATATATTTAGATAATAACAATATAACGATAAAACAATTTGAAAATTTGGAGCTTAAATAAATACGAGAATGCATTTCTACATGAATTAATATTGAAACCTCTGAAAAGACAATTCTCAAGACATTTTAAAAGATTGATCGTAAAAGTCAATTATCCTCCTGTCTAATACAAATATGGAACTCTTATGGTGTAATAAAAAATCCCATATCAAGGAATAACAATGCAGTCAAAGGAAGACATAACTTAATTAAGCTATGCTGATAATCTATCAATTTAAAAATATGTTGAAATTCTAACTAAAGAAGAAAAGCATAAATAACATGAGAATTTATCAGTTTATCGTAAGTAATGAACCAAATCCAAAAAGTACAAAGATTTTGGATAAAGAATGAAAAATTGAAGGTTAACACTTAACTGCTCAATTCTAGCAAACTTTTAAAAGACATTGTTCAAAATATCTAGTTATGACTTGGCTTTTCTTTTTATATTATTATTATTATTATACCAACAACAACCTACTGATGTTTTTATACGAATTAGTTTTTATTTTTTTAATCACGTAATTTTTGGTGAGCTTATAAGTTATAATTGTAATTGTCCCTACGCTTATATACCTCCTATCACGCACAATTGTCGAGAATCCTAGTTATATAAAGTGTTTAATCTTGTTAAGTTTATAACATTATTTATCAGTATAATAAAATTAAAATAAATTGTATAAAACAATCAGAATATTTACTTTTCACCACTATGATATATAAGTTTATCGTTCAAACTAAAATTAATATGGCACTTTAATTCGTTTAATTCCCACTTCATTTGGTCAATGTCTTCGTCAGCCTTTTTGTTTCTTTTTTTGGTTTTAATCGATATTTTATACAGTTCGTTTAATTTTAGGTTTAGATTTTCTTTTATCTTTGAATAGGTCTTAAAACAATATATTATATTATACCYGTATTCCAAAAATAAAAATAAATTATGTTGAATCATATACTTAATAGCTTACGAATTTAATGGCAGATAGTTCTTTTTCTAAATTTTGTTTAGCTTGTTCAGTAATATTTATTCCTTTTATCTTAAACTTGAAATAGTATAACATATTTTCGGTTATTTTCATTGATGTTATAAAATCAAAACGAAATTTATACAATTGAGTTTTGTGATTTTTTAGCATCTCATATTCCCATTCTAATAATCGATGTTTACATTTGAATCTAAGTAAATTAGATACAGCATCAATTTTAGTATTACCCATTTCCTAAAAATTATACACATTTTTTGTAATAAATATAGTTAGTTTATTATTATGATATAAATCGTATTATATAGACAATAATTAGTGAAATGATAAGCTAAGTTTAATTAAGCACAAAACCTATAAGAGCCGAGTTCCAAGCCCTATAATATTGAAGCTCCTAAGCGAATTTTTATCTCAGACCAAGTTCAAAATTTTTTAAGTTAAAATATTATTTTATTAATGTCTTTTTTTAAATATTGATTATTATTTGTATTACGTTGTCGTGTACCATCCGTGTACCACTAGCATGTAAGTTGATTTTTTTTTTTGTTTGTATGTAATATGTATACAACTTAGATTTCTATATCAACCAATTTACATTGTCTTACTATAAGATGACAACTTACGCTACTTACTCTGTAAACAAACACGATTTTTGTTTTTTTTGTTTTTGTATATTGGGCTTTAGCCCGTTTAAATTTTCATAAATAAATAAATAACAATCGCTATCGTTCGCATCGTCACACACATATCATTAAATATATATATATATATATTATATCAATTTTTTCGTGAAAATTACGACATGCATTTTTGACTTATAACTTTCGTGGACCCCTATTTACACATGATGTACCCCCAATTTTAATTTTTTTTGACATAGACCCCTAACAGGTCAGAAGCGACCCTAGGGGGTCAATATAGACCACTTTGGGAACCTGTGATATATTGTAGCTATATTTTCCAGTGATAAACAGTTGAGCAGAGAGATCATTTAAAAAATTGAAAAGAGTGATGAACATATTAATTTCTACCAAAAACAATCCATACTTAGATACATACATCCTTACTAACGCTTTAGAATTAATGCATATTACTGCAATCTAGAGTATAATGATCTCTACTGACAGAAATAAATACAGAATTCTGATGTCATCATTGTTTTAAAAAAGAATAGAWAATAAGATAATAAAGTTARTTTTAAAATATTAAGTTTTTCATTTTGATATATTTTGAATAATAGTATAGTATATGTAACAAAAATTGACTGTCATAACAGAATCTAAATACCATTACAATCATTTAATTAGTATCAGTGTATTTTAAAGATATACAATTTAGTTATTGATTATAAATATTATTAAAATTAAGGGTCTCTTGAACTACTAAGCTCTAGGCCTGTTAACACTTAATCCAGCCCCGATAATGAGAATGATAAAATCACTGAGTAGAGATAATGCTGGTGTTGATCAACTATTATATAAATACAAATTATATAAAAATAAAATATAAATATCACAATAGCTTATTTTTTATCAGTTATCATCTACATAAACATATAAATGTATGTAATAGTATACTTTAATTTCAGCGTTCACTTCATCGATAGCATTTTTGGAAATGAGTGATGCATTTTCAAAATCACTTAAGTTTCCTGTCAGAACTATTTCAACATTTCTTTGTTTTACAACTAATTGAATCTACAGTTTAAATTAAAGGAAAATGCATGGTWACTTTTAATTTCAATAGTAATATCTATCCGTTACCTACCTCAGGATTTTCTTCATAATATAAATCTTGATGTTCCAGTCTAATTATAGATATCTTTAATTTCTCAATCATAGCTTCTCTATTTTCTTTATTATACTTTAAGCTTTCTATCAAATAATCGATGTCTGTTGCGTCTTTTTGGCAAGTCAGAATATTAAATTCCAATTCGATTTTCATACGTCTAAAATAGCAAAGTTTATGCCAAGTTTCTCTGCTCATATTCAGGTTATAATTTTCGACATATTTATATTCGTCATACATATTGAGTGTATCTAAGTATTTAACGAATTCTGTGGTCAAAATAAGTAGCTTATCATATGTTGGATCCATAATTGTGTTTACAAACTGGTAACCGATTAATGGCGAATAATTTTTATTGCCATGTATTTTTGGTCTCCGACTAAGAATAAAAATTAATTTGATAAGGTGTAAAAATATATTTATAAAGGTTATCTGTTACTTGTAAGCAATTAATGCTTGTTTATATTTGAGTTTGGATGGAAACTCAGACTTAAAACGTTTATTAAGATTGTAATTTTTCTGATTCAATGTTTCTATAGTATTAAACAAAGAATCTGGCTCAGTTTTTGCTATTTTTTTATTCGTTTCAGCAATAATTTTATCAATCTTCGTGATAGTTTCTCTTAACTTCAACTTGATTTCACTTCAAGTATAATTTTAAAAATGTAATAAAATACCATTGAAATTAAAAAGGTTCATACTTGTATCGTTCAATTTGCAGTTTTCGATGATTACTATCACTTAGCATTTTTGAAAGTCTAAGCATTTTTAAATGCTCCTGGTCTATAGCTGAATTATACTTCAACTTCATTTGAAATAGCGTAAATACATTGTTATCAAATTCAATAATAATCTGTTCAATATGATGGTAGATTTTAATCTTTTCTTCATCAAGAATATTTTTATATTTTATTCTTTCGTCTTTCAGAGTCAAAGTTAGTTTTTCATACTCACTAATAGCTTTAAAATCTTCAAGTGTAAATTCCTCAGGATTTTTATTCAACTATTAATGAAAATGATTATTGCACTATGAAATTGATTAAAAATAAAATAAATGCTAACTACTATGCATTGAGGTTTAGGCACATCTTTTTTCAACTCATCTTCCCATTTTTTTTCCAGCACACCATCCATCATAATTATTAATGCCCTTTGTTTAAAGTTGTCTAACATTAAATGTTTACTGTTTTTTTCTTTGTTAGTGGACATTTTGTTACTGTTAAACAGTTTAACGGGAACTTCATCGTCATTAACATATAAAAGTGTTTCGGTTTGTTCATATTTATTCCATTTATAATTCACAGGCAAGAGTTCACTAGATTCAACTAAAAAATAAAAATTAATACTTTATAACTTTCTTCTGGATTTTTTCAGTAACATCAGTTCAAATACCTTTGCATGCCATCCTCAATTCAGTTTCAATTACACTTAATCTATTATGATATTCCTTCAAATTATCCAATTGCCGTTGTTTTTCAATAAACAAATCATCAAATAGTTGATTAAACTTATGTTTTAATTTGTTAACCATAAGCTAATCAAGTAAAAATATTTGGTATCGTTATTAACTATAATTATTTATAAACACGTTTATATATTACTATTAATTAGTAACATACTTGAAGTAAAATCATTTCATCTTCAGCCATTTCTAATTTATAATAATAGTATTGAGAATTTAAAGTATCAATAGTTTCAACAAACTTATAACTCATTGAACCCATCATTGATATATCATTATTTTGTTTATAATTTAATTCCGAATTCGATTCAACATCTGATATCTCAAAATCATCTCTATAAAGAATATTTTTTTTTTTTACATTTGAAATTTTACAAAATATATATAAAATATTTACTTAAAAAATAAAACGTCCATGGATATTTGTTCTGACATATCTCTGATTAATATTCTTTCTTTTATGATTTTATTAGCCTTTTTGGTAACTTCTTGGTCTAATATGCTTATTGGATAGTTGTCTACTTTATGTATATTTCTTAAACACTACATTTAAATTTAAATTTAAGATCACAAATACCACTTTTTTATGATTGTTTTAAATATATAGATATTTTACATGTATAGATTTGGGCTTGATAAATAAAGTATCCCATTGTTCTTTTATAATATTTTCAAATTCTTTTTTAAATTTGACTATGTCGCTATTATTTTTTTCTTCATATTCTTTTCGTTCAAGCTTACATTTTGTGCTGAAATTTTGTGTATAATCTAAATTTAAATCGAATTCTTGTATATTTATTTTAATGTAATCCGGTCCATTGATATTAGTTTCAAATAAATGTAGAAGCTAAAATTCAGATATTTTACGAATTTATTGATTGTAAAATATCATTATGGAAACATTTTAATAGGTACAATTTTTTTTTTTGTCATTTCATTATATTTAAGGTAATACATTTTTTTTGTACATCTTTAATTTAAATTTGGCATACAATTTTGATAAATGAGAACCTAGAGAACCTACCTGATGTAATACACATGAATCACAATACAATTTTATATGGCTAATTTTCATTTATTTCCATAAAAATAACCTAAAACCAGTAAGTAGGTAGTTTATTACTTTTAATATTACATTAGATGTGACCATACTATGGTCGACTACAACGGACAACGCACAGGCTCAAGACATACCAAATATCTTTTGCGTTGGAATTAAAATTCCACCATTCTAACCGAAATACCCTGCAGTCTTGTTTGCACAACTTGAAGCTCAATTCATCGAAGAATTAAAATTGTGAAACCCAAGCTCGAACACTMGGAAGATAACCCAAATATATAAATTCAATGACAGAATCCTATACAAGAAAACAACAAAGTAGAAATCCCCAATGGTAATATCCAGGTCAGCAGCGAATCATGTATTATAGAAATACCTCAACCACCCATTAACACATCATCCAGGATTGAAGTAAACTTACTTGACAATACAAAATAGATATTATTGGTAAATCAGCAGAATTGAAATCTCCAAATACGTAAGAAACTGCCAAATCTGTGCTTGTACCAAATCGGTAACCTCAAAACCAGAGAACATAATKTCATATGGAATACCGTGATAACCATGGGAAGTACTGAGCATCGACCCAGTGGGCCCTTACCCAAAAACAGCGTGAAAAAAAAACCAAGATCACGGATTGTTTTTGTAGATCCAATTGGGACAGCAACCACATGAATAATAGTCGATTCAATTGAAAAAGAATTCTGTTCACATTTCGAATACGCACACATCATACTATCGGATAATGGACGACAGTCAGAGTTGGGCAAGATACTCAAAAAAAAAGTATCATGATACATGCCTTTAATGTATTAAGATACAAGATACAAGATACGTGATACATGATACTTTTATATTTCTAATCGAATTTTATTTACTATTAAACTTAAGACGTMTATACATAATTCACTATAATSTCAATACATAAATACTTATAAAGTCATAATTGTATTAAATAATATAATAAGTCAATAGGTACACATTATAAATTTATAAGTTTATAACTAATACAGTAATACATCAGTATATAATATAAATACAACAAAATTAATAGATTTCATAAAAATTACTTCTTAATTTGTATACATTTCAGTTACTTTAGTGCTCTGTATAACTGTAGATACGTATACCGTATAATGGGCTACAGAMATACGGACACCTTAATTTAATTTTATGTTTTTCAAATTATATTACAGCTTTACAAGTTATAAAATTGTGTGGTACATTTTTTCGTTATCGTTAATTTCAAATCGATTGCATCTGGACCATTTTTCATAAAAATACAATCCGTGACGAAATTATGTAATAACGAAAATCGAAATGTCTTGGCACTATTCAGTACACATTTTTACAACAAAAGTATCTTGTATCTTTTGGCAAAAAAGATACAAGATACTGGTATAAAATGTATCATGATACATGATACTTGATACTTTAAAATTATGTATCATGATACAAGATACAATTGTATCATTGAAACTTGTATCTTTGATATTGCCCAACCCTGACAGAGTGGAGAACCGAAGCGTGGACGACGCTGATCTACCATCCATTAGAACGATGAAACCGAGAAATAAAGAAAGGACTACGAACACAGCTACTGGAAAAACCCCTCATAGCATTGGATGGGGTTTTACCAGCGATAACGTTCGCCATCTGTGAGAATTCGTCTCAAATAGTCTACGATGCAAAATAATTTTTTTTAATATTATAAATAAATAAATAAATATGTAGTATAGTAGGAGAGGGTTAAAGCCATTCTAATCCTGCCCTAAGTCAAAATGTATTAAATTACATTAAAATCGTAACTAAATAAATAGGTGTCATTAACTAAGTAGTTGATTGGGTCTAAAGAGAAATTTGTGTATCAGTAAAAATGTAATCATACTTAACTATTTAATTATGATTAAAATTATATTTTTTTTAAATTTACAACTTGAAAATGAAGGATAAACTGCAATTAAATACTATTTTAGTATATTTACATTCCATTTTTTATTTACTTTAGTTTTTATTTTTTCAAAATCTTGAATTATTTTATTTTTTTGATAACTGCATGCACTTTTAATCGCATTAAATTCATCTTGTTTATTAATCATTGACCAAGTCATACGTTTTTGAGCTGAAAAATTGTAATTGTGAAATTCCATGAATAATTTATTCGTWTATTTTGTATATCCTTCACAAAATAAATAATAAAATCTAACATTCTAGTCCGTCATCAAAACCAATTCCTTCCATTTTAAAATTTTTAACAATATCTGGAATATTTATCTTATAAATCCGTTTTATACGATTGAAAATTCCTCTGAAATCCGATGTTGGAATCAAGATTATATAATCCAAAAATAAAGATATCATACTTAAATTTTATTATTTCCATAAAAAAAATTACTTTAAAGTTGTACACATGAAGTTTCCATGATCACATAGCGTTAATATGTTACGGATATTTAAGTCAATTTCAGCAGTTATCAATCCAAAGAGCCAATGACTACCGTTTACCATTATCATTTCTTTCCATTGTCCATCATTATCTAATTCATAAAGGCTATACGTACCATTCGGACTAAATATAATACAATGGTTTCCCAGTATATGTGTTTTAATATTTCTTAATTGGCGATGTAATGGAATAGTTTGTATTTCTAACACTTTTTCCTTAACGAAAAACATATTTTGAGATTAATAATAGATTCATTAATAATAAATTATTTATCATACATTTACGATGTTTATTGTCATCAAATGAATAACATTTGACAACAAGACAGAAAAAGCTATGTTTATTGCACTAGGCACGTTAGTCGGACACCATTTAAATACCGATATGTAATAATATTGTGTATCTATTAACTTAAAAATCACTTTGAAATTTGAATCAAATATTATAATATTATTTCCAGCATTTTCTGAATTTTTCTGATTTGCATATAATACTGTTAAGAACGACGTTGTATTGAAGTCGAATATGTCAATGTCAATAACGTGCTTTCCCAAATGATGTTCTTTAATCACAGAACACGTCTCCCCTAAATTAATCTAAAAGATATTTTTAAGTTAATTATATTTTAATTTTAATATAACTATTAACTATTTTCAGGCCCAGCACAAGGCTAACTGACGCTCCAGGCCAAAATGCCAACTGGCGCCTTTTTCATACAACCCATAATATCATAATATTCGGAAAAAATGTTATTCATGGACAGAAATACGGAAAAATGATATATAATGCTTAACTTGTACATTATTTGTTAACATCTTAATTTAAAAATAATAACATATGACGAAATATAATATAATAGGTATAATATTCACATATAAATACAAAATACTTACATACTACTACTAAAAAAAAAAAAAATAAGACAGAAATTAATAATAAATGGAAATAGAGTGTACAATAAAACATAACATAAATAAAATATTATACTTTTCTTGATTTTTCTCGGCAAAACTCCTTATAATTGTAGAAAAATCAATTTCCACARCTATTTCGTTTTCTATAGATAAAACTGATAGTGAGACTAAACGTTCATTAGCTATAATAGATTGCAAATATGTTTCTATGAGTTTTAATTTTGAAAAACTCCACTCACCACAAGCTACTGTCACTGGTAACGTCAATAATAATCTTAAATCAATCTAAAGATTTGGAAATATGTTTAGGAGTTCATAGTAAAAAATGTATTGAAGAATATTAAGACGTGAACTTACGTCCAAACAAGAAATTAACACTTGCTTGATATTCACGATCTCTRTGCATAATTCGACACCATCGATATCAGAGTCCTATCTATCTTTAAGGTGATTGCGTAGATCCATACAATGTTTCAATAATTAATTTTAATTTTCAGGAGCATTTAGTAAATCGTACAAAAAATTCCATAAATTAACATGGATCTTTAAAAGTTCAAAACGATCTGTTTGAATTTTTCGACTGCAGTTCTATGATCAGTGTCATCTGAACCCTCAAGTTTTTTTTTATACGCTTCCGAACTACTTTTATTTCAGAATCCACCCCTAATTCATCTGCTATTCTTTTGCTTTGACCAAAATCTGATCAATATAGTTCTTGATAAACCCTAAAGCCCTTCTTAACATATAAGAACCATTTATGAAGTCCATTGATTTTTCTGGCATACTTTTACTGACTATATTTACTTGAAAAAAAATATCGTACCAAACAACTAATGATATTAGAAACTTAAAACCTGTAATTTGATCAGCAAGCGAAACAGCTTCATGGTGCGTTCCAGCATCTATGTTTTCAACTTTGGATAGTTTAGCACATTGTAAATTTATTCAGTTTGAAAGCGAACAGCTTTTACGCGCTGTTGATTCTACTTTCCAATCTTGTGTCACTCAGAAGTTTCGTGGTCAGCACTATTATATTGTTGGTTAAAATTTTCCATCGATTTACCGAAGATGAAAACAAAACATTAATTCTTTGGAGTACGCTGAAAACTGTAATTGAATTTATAGAACAAGATGCAGCATCTGAAACAACTAAATTTAAAGAATGGCAATTGCATGGAACAAAGGTGGCACAAGGATTCATTGATAAGACTCTCACTTGAAGTCGTTTTTTTGCCCTTTCATGTTAGCATCATTATCATAATATACCTGCCCACGACAATCTTGAAAAGAAATATTCTTTTCAGCTCAACTAACCTTAAAAAATTTCCATTACTTTGAGAATGAAATTTATCTGAACTTTCTCGAAACGCTATATTATTCTTAGATAAAAATAAAGTTACTGATAACAAACGGTCCAAAACTTTTATCCAATAATCAGTTTCCATGTTCGTAATTCGTTGGTGCTCTGCATTTATTGTTTTATTTAATTTTAACAGTTTTACTATTTCTATCCATGTACCATAAGCCTTAAAATTATTAGTCGCTTTTTCGTGTACAGTAAGAGCAGCAGATACGTTATGCCAATCAGAAAACCCAAAAATAGTCAAATTTGACTTCGGAGTTTTATCAAATAATTTACAACAGAAACAAAATATTTTCCCCGTTGATTTTGAGTAAATTAACCAACGCCTAACTAATTTTTCTCCATTAGAAAGATGTCGATAAAAATTAATCTCAAAAAAATTTCTTTTTTTTTGATCTAGTTRAATACTCGAAAATTCTGTAAATATTTCGGGACCTGTTACTACTGTATAGCCAATTTGTTTTGATATTAAAAATGAGCGCCAAGTAGCAGGATCAGAGAACTTGGTTCAGACGATTCAGTGTTACTAACTAATTCAGTACTTTGAAATTCAATAGAAATATCCATATTTTCTAAAAGCTTAATTGTATGTTGTCCAGATCTTGTAGTAGCTAATAAAGATGACGTAATTTTTTTTCTAAACTCGTAGAAAGTAACAATTCTTTTGAAGAATAGCTATTATCGTTACCTAATTGATTCTTTATTTTTTTGTAAGGACTTAGATAAAGCATTAGCGCTTTTTTCAAATTCTAATTCTCTCTTAACCTTTTTTTTTTAGGTTTTCTGCTCCCGATAATTTTTTTTTCAGTGCCATTTTAATTAACGCGTTTTCTAAAGTAATTTTAATAATTTGTATAAAATTATTAATTAGGTAATTGTTATCAAATATCTTATAGGTATATTAAACATAAAATAAATATAGTATTCTGACAGATGCAGCAGCAAACGTGTTAATAAATAATAAATAAAAATATATATTATTATTTACTTTCTATTGTCTGTTAAAGT